TTAAAAAAAATATTAAATCCATAAATAGATTTTGAAAAGTTTAAATTTATTTTAAATTTGCTTGATTGTCTCTAGGAAAAAAAGCAACCTTTGACCTCGAAAGTATGCTATCAAATATATGTTTTTGAGTATTTGAGTATCATTAAAAAACAACAGGAATGGAGCACGGTTCTTTTACACGGAATCTCTTATCCCAATGATCAGATTCCAACATACGATATCAGTTTCTTGTCATATTTTTTATTTATTTTTTTCGAAGTTATGTTTTCTCCAAAATATCCATGTTTTTCCATGCATTTATCTATTTTTTGGGGAAGTGCGAGCAACTTGTCGAAGTAGCTTTCCGTGACGCACGGTTTTGATGTATGCTTATATTTCTGTACGGCTTTGTCAAGAATCCATTGCTGAATGTTTTGGAAAAACTTGCTCCAAAACATTGAAAATTAACAAAAATATGAAGAAAATAACGAGATTGTCATTTATTCTGACTAAACTACTAATTTGAGAGTATGAACGAAACAGAAACAAGTCGGGAAATCTTCAGAAATGCTTGAATCCTTAAAATGACTTAATTTCTGAGATCGTCCTAAGTATTGTTCTACCACAGAGAACTATCACAAGCATCCAGTAATTTTAATTTTGCATCATTTGAATGTCCTCTACTTTCTCTAGGAAAGAATATGATTATGTGATAGAAATGACACGGACCAGTAGATCATCGCATCGGATATTTTCATTAAAATGCTTCTACAACTCGCATTGTTCAAAGATGTTGCTTCGACTATAGAACCAGTTCTATAGTCGCTAAGTCAGTTTCTATATCATTCGAAAGCCTTATTCTAATGATAGAAGAGAACTTGAAAAATATGAATAGCGAATCGAAACATGGTAGTCGATTTCGAAGAGAGAAGCAGTATATTTTCAATTATTCAATGTTTCTGTTAGCGACATCAGTACAATAATCTTCGAAACCGAAAAACGCCTGCCATTCGTTGCTACATTCATCAAAGCTTCGGACGGCATTGGCAAATTTTGCATTTGGTATGTTTAGTGTAATAGAGAGCGAAATAACGACGCGAAAGAATTACTATGATCCTCAAAGCAACTTTAAACGTAATGCTTGCATCACTTGTTTAGGATCGTTTGTACTGAGCATATCGTAGTAGGATGATAGATTGTCGCTGCTTCATAAGCTTAACAGATGAGAATGCGTATCATGTTGGAATATTGGTTTGCACCCTTATATATTATAATATACTCATCTTGTAAGAGTCGTGCTGGAACCTCGACGTATTATAAGGTACGATTGAATTTTATTAATTTATAACAAAAAAAAAGAGAATAAAATTATTATTTGATTGATTTTTTGAAGAACATACTACTTACAGTAATATCTCTATAGTTATCCTTCAATAACGCCTACTATGAATCATTCATAGCAGTATAATCGATGATAATCTATACTGGGAGCCTCCGGATGAGTTGGCTTTCGTCGAGAAACTACCAAAGAAAAAATTGACAATTTCTCGGTTATTGCGAATTGACTTATTTCTTTTTATCCACAGTAAGTCATCGTAAAAAAGAAGTGAATATTTTCCTCTAAAAACTCATTTCAATAAAAGAAAACAACTATATTCTGGATCAGCTCGTTACGCTGTCTCATCATGGATGAGAAGAAGAAAACAAAATCTGCTTTAATCTTGCATTTTAGATACCTTGACAAAAAACTTGAAAACTTCTAAAAAAAAGACTCGTTTTTTAAACCTTTCTTATCTTATGTGTTTTTCTCTAACACATGTACCAACGAATTTTAAAATAATACATCTTGAACCAAATTTTCGTGATCTATCGAATGATATGTAAGTGTGCAAAAATACGTTTAATTGAATTTTGCATTACGTGCACTTTAAATAACTTTTGTCAGAACTTCTTCAATTTGTAGGACTTTGAAAATCAGTTGGAATGTTTTGACGAAAACCGTTTAGAAATTTCAACATTTTGTAGCTTCAAAATAGTTCTATACGGATATTTCCACTTGCTATCCAACGATAACTGCTTAAAAGTATTTTTGAAGAGAATCAAAGAAGAAATTCTTTAAGAAATTGACCCGACGTGAATGGGCCAAAAAATGGACAAGACATTGACGAAATATTGATGTTGCCTATTTATTTAAACTACCTGATACATATATATCGGCAACCCAAAATGTAAGGGATCAGCAAAGAAAATATAGCCCAGTGAGTCTTTCAATTATTTATGGTTGCTCAATCTTCAAAAGAAGAGCTCCAGTAGGAAATAGGTCTGTGCTAATAAAACCATGATTTTGTCCCTGTTTACGTGAATATTTTCAAAAAATCACGATTCAGACTTTTTCTAGTCAATTATACAATTATTTCATGTTTTGAGTTATCCATTTCAGACATCAAACGTACAACTTTGATCCCAATCTTCTGACTATAGTGAATTATCAATATCGAACGAAATGCCAATGGAAATGTTATATGAAGAACATATGGGTAGAATGGAGAAACTGTAAGTTTGTCACAGGTTTTTTCACCAACATTACAACTAATATACTAATTGGCTACTAATCACAAGAAAACATGTCAAAGTGCCAATTCGCTTCTCAACCGGGACAGTAGCCATTTAATTGGTTATAGCCACATATATAAGACGGTAACTTCGACTGCATGTCTAAGTCTCTAAAGCTATGCATTGAACACTATTTTAATCATCTCTTGACATCTTCTAAAGGTTTGGCAACAAAATCGAATGTTGTATGCTCGATATGAGCTTGCACACATGGGCAAATCTTATTATTATCAGATTTTATCACAAATTTGACTTCGAACCAATACTTTTTCACAATATTAGTTTTTTAAACAGATTAAGTATTTGCAGTTCTTTTTTAAGAATGAATTCTTGAAAAAATTTATATCTCGAGATGGAAAGATATGCTTTGAGCGGTAACTTTTGTGATATTCTGGTAAAGATGAGACCTACAAAAATGCCAGTTTTCAGATAAAAAACAATTCACTCGCTTTTCCGAAATGCCTTAGGACAGTTCAAGAAGCGAGTGAAATAGTACTCATAGTTCAGCCTAAAAAGACCACAGATTTCATTATGTTGTGGAATTACACTACTTGCTACAAACGATAAAGTGATCATTGTCGTAGACAAAAACTACTGACGGCTCGAAGACCTTATCTTGTCAGCACAACGTTAACACTGCTTTCGCTTCCGGTGAATCAGAGATGAAGGATACACATTTTTGTGTTTTTATTTCAGAAAAACATATGCTAAATGGTTCTTTTTGAGCATTGGAGTGCTCATTGGTCTGTTGTTGTTTGGACTTCTCGTCTTGGACATACTCTTACGGATATCTGTGTTTCTTAAAAACTCTAATTCAAAAGCTATGGCGGACTACAGCACAGGTTTGTCAACTGTCACTTTTAGTTAAACAGTAGATCAGACTGATTGTTGAGCAAGTATTGTGAAAGATTCAGAAATAGCATGAGAGAAAAGAAATAATGGAAAATTCAGTTTTCCACTAAAAACAACCCATAATAAAGAAATCCTGATCAGAAAAACATACCATAAATCTTTCACAAAAAAGATTGCATTTCAGGTAGTTAAAAGTATTGAACTTGTTTAAGGAAAATTTGATTTGTTTCAAACACATTTTTTCATTTAACCATTCATAAATAGTCAATTATTATAAAAAAAAAAGATCATCTTTCATTCAAACTAAGATAAATATTATCTTTTAATAATGCTTTAGACAGAAAAAACTTCTTATTTAGGAAATTGGATACTATTCATCGCTGGAATTTCCTAACTTTTGACAATCTTTGACAGCGACCAAGTCGAAACTGCTTGATATCATTATTCTATCATTTTGGTTTCTGTGTCAAAATGAGGGATCCTCGCCATCCGAAACCTCTTATGTCTGGCGACAGCTATTTAAGCCTTTTTTAAGAAGTGATAAAGCCATGTTTTATAAAATCTCTGAGTTAGTAATTGCTTTTTTGATCTATGTACTTTTTGCACCCACAATTGGACGACGCATAGAAACCTGTTTGATCACTATATCCATTTTTTTCACAATCCTAATGACGAGTCTTCTAGCTTAGATCTAATAAGTCCATGAGCAAGTTTCACATCTCAATATATTCAACATCATTTTATATAGATTATTTCAATGAGAAGCGTATGATAATACATATGACATAATCCAAACTGTTTGAAATTTACACAGTTCATAGAAACCGAAGTCCCAATGATGTCCAGAGCAAAATATTACTGATTTTACATAAATAAGAAAAGATTAGGAACTGACTAAAAAGTCCAATTATATGTTCTTAAAATATTATTTCATGTATGATTGAGAACTACTTTGAATTCTATGGAAAGAATCTATTGTACTATAGTTTTAATGTTATATTTATAATGCGAACCTGCATTCGAATCATTGAATATATTGGCATAGTACATTTTGTACAGAAAAAATTGTCTTTTGTCAATCTTCAAATTTTTATTTCTTGTCCTGAAGTCTCATGATTAGTCCTCCGAAACAATTCAGTCATAGGACTAGCAACTTCGAAGTTATATAGATCACGATAGATAGGACATCTTCCAAGTGAATCTGAAATTACTACGATGCATCTTTCGTTCGGACAGGTGAATATCAACTATGGAGATAAGTTCCCACAGGAAGATCTGCAGATAATGAGAATCTTCTGTAATGCCACTTAATTCATCAAGCAGGTCTTTTTGAGATTAGCAACTTCTAGTATAAGTAGTCACTGTGGATCTTCCTTCTTGATTCATGATGTTCATTAACCAGGTTTTTTTTCATATGTTGATTATCTCCAAGCGGATTTTTTAGATAATGACCGACGTTTTTCCCAAAAATACTCTGAGAAACGGCTGTCCATTTCGATTATTCATTTTATATTGTAGAATCGGATGAAATGACGCATAGCTTTTACTCAAATTGGATGCCAAACAAGATTCAGAGTACGGCAGTCGTCAATACTGATGAGATTGCTCGAAAAGTAATCTTATTTCAATTAATTATCACATATATCTAAATCATTTAAATTGAACGAAATTCTAGTTAGAAGCTGTCTGTGGTATCAAATCAGGTTCGATCTATATCAGTACTATTGTGATCACTCATAGTGAACCAAATGCCGATGGTCGTCACCATCAAGTTGATAGTGAAAAACGTGAAATGTGCGTCTCTATCTTGAGTGACTTTTTTTAAATACCGTATCTGTTCTCAATATTTATCTAATTCTGTTTTAGACCTAAATGTGATCAGCTGGAATCTGTCAGCTCAATTGTGAAAATAACAATGCATATAATTTATCCGGCAAGATGTGGCATATCTATGCGTTGCAAAAAAGAATTCGCTGATGTTATCCAAGCTCGTCTTGTTGCATATAGTTCAATTATTTTACTAGAATTCAAATTTGATGACGACAGCTTCAGTGAACTTGCTTTGACCAGATGTAAGAGTGCCACTGATTCATCATTGAATTCTTCAGTACGGTCACGACGTGCTGCTAAAGCCACTACAACCAAAAGCTAGTTAGCACAACCACTTCGAGGTTCAAATGTAGAACTCATATGTGTTCTTTATCATTTGTTAAAATAATAAAAAAATAGGTGGAGTAAAAAATCAAAATCCTTCTTAGACTAGATCTGTATTTCGAACAAAATTTTTTATCCTTTCTACGGGTGTCCAATTTTTTTGTTTGCATTATTTCTATTCGCTCATTATTTTTCATTTCTGCTAAATTCATTTTTCTTAATTTAATGTTCTTATTATTATAATCATGGAATTGATTGACAAATAAGTCTGTTTTACAGATCCATGGTATCTACAGCAGATTTTACACACTATCATACATATATTAAAGAACTCATAAACAATGATATTTATTATTTTTCAAAATTATAACTTGATGGATTTAACGAAAAAATTCTAGACAGTCTGACGCCTGCTATTCTTGGTTGCTACAGTCTATTATGGGGAATTGTCTGTATGAGGGGGGGGGGGGAGGAGAGGGGAACCAAGGTTGCTAAGTGTCTGGAATGAAGAGGAGAGGATGATGGAAGAGAATCCGTAAGGGTATGGATGTGGATGTGGGTGTGGGTGTGGGTGTGGATGTGGGCGTGGGTGTGGATCTGTATTTGATGAAAAGATTCACATCCATACCCACACCCAAAAATCGGTTTATTTCCTAATACAAACTTATCAAATTTTGGGCTAGACAAATCTTAATAAGTTTCCAATCATTCGATTGAATCTCAATAAATGTATGATATTCAATGATCAGCACATCTAGCTTTGCTCGATCAAGTACGGAACTTTTAGGTTATTTTATGAAAGCATTTGCAGAAATCGATTGAAGTATCTCTACTAAATGTTTGATTTTACTTTTTGGATGCTGTGTCGAAGAATTTCTCAGAAAATAAACTGATTATTTCAAGAAATTTTTTTTTAAAATTCTAAATAAATATGAAACAAAATTGTTCTCAATCTTATATAACAACATTGAACAAATCGAAATACAAGGTAAACAAAAACTAAGGAGTTCAATATCTATTGAATATAATTATGTCAAATTTGTTTTCAAATAACAATTTGTAAGTGGAACTTTATTTGTACGTGTAACATAATGTGTAAAACCATCTTCATATGTCCATCTATCAGGTGTTTGATGTCGATCAGATAATGTACGTATACGACAGAATCCAATACCGTTACATTTTAATTGATAATCATACGCAATAGAACCATTATCATTGTTGGCAGTTGTACGACAGAGTGTTTCATTAACATTATTTTTATAAAAATTTGCCATAGATAAATTTTTATCATCCATACAATTACCTAGACCAAGTAAAATCCAATTTGATGATATAATCTGTTGTTTAGTTTTTGCAACAGATATAAATAAATCGAATGCTGACGATGTCGTAGCAGAATTTCGTGATAAATTACAATTATTAGATGAATAATTATTCCAAAACAAATCAAATAAACCATCTAGTTCACAACGATTTGTAGATAAAAGTGATATTGCATTTTTTTGTAAAAATAACGTATATTTTTGTATATGATATGTATCTGTAAGATATGGTAATAAATAACCTAGATGACGAGCAAATATTCCTTTAAATAATTTTTGATCATTATCACATGTAGGTTCACATGGTTCTTTTAATATTCCATTTGAATAAGTTAATCGTTCTATTGTTGAATCCGCTATATTTTGTGCAATATCAATCAATGTTGAATTTCGTGTAGCATTATATAAGAGTGCTAAACCTGTTAGAATAACACCTTGATTATATGTCCATGTTGTTTGATTATTATTTACACATTTATTATCATTTATGATATTCGTTGAACTAATTTAGAAGAATATAATAGGTAAACGAAGATATTTATATAAATGTGTGAAAAGTATAATAAGTTTGGTTTCTAAAAGAAAATGTATCTTACAAAAAAAGCTGAGTTATTTACAGAGCTGAATTTAGCAATGGTTCTCCAGTTCAAATTTGGATTCTTGCGAGGAAATCTCCCCAAATGATTAAAAGCGTTCGGGCTCATATTCGGACCATAAGTGGAGCTTAGTAGGGTTAGAGGAATCATAAAAGAGTTTGCCCTGTTAGGCCTATTTGCTTGAATTACGAGTGTTCCAAGTTTGAGACCAACAGCGTAGATAAACTGCTTCTTTTACTTGAATTACAAAATTGCAATATTTCAAAAGAAAAATTTCTTTTCGAAAAGCTCATAGGTAAAACATCGAGTTATTCCAAAAATTTTTTTTTCCTTGTATAAGCATGAAATACGAATATTTCAATACAATAGAATTGTTTCAGGTATGTGCTTCATAGAGGATCGTATACATTCTACAATTATTTGTATTTGTTGTTTCGTTTCGTTTTCATACTTTGGCATTCGTGCTTTATCTTTCATTTTCATCTGATTAATATGTTTTCTTTTATTTTATTCGGAGTCATAACTCACTTCAGCACGAGTATAAAGGAAAGAATAAAAAGAGACTTCTATAGAAATCTTACAATATTCTAATTCAAGCACTAAAAGTAGTTTGTCTACACTGCTAGCCGTAAAATTGAAGCGCTCGCAGGTCAGTCAAAGAGCCTCATGAAGGCAAATTTTCTGAGAATTTTTCTAGTTCTACCAAATCCTGTTCATCTCCCAAAATATGGGCTTACACGCTTTTGAATTATATTCACAGTTAAATAGATAATTTAAATTTCCATTAAACGATTATTTTGATAGAATCGATCCAACAGAAGTCTATACAATTTTATGTTGGTCTCGAGTGAGTACAATAAGTAACTATATCCTCACAATACGAAAAAAACTCAATTATCAGCAATTAAATCAAAACAAAGGATAACATGGTACCTCAGCAAAGAATAAATGCAAGAATGCGTTTTCTTGTTGAAAAATTTTATCCTAAGCTTCCAAAAAGTACTTATGATTACACGATAAATAACTATAGAAATCAGATATGGAAGTGATCTGGATGTTTGATGACCTTTACCGACTGTATCTCTTGAAAGTATTATTTCATATATTATAATGAAAACAGAAAACTCAAGAAAAGTTGATTGAACCAGATCGGTCGGTTGCCAGTTCTGTTTCCATCTCGTAAGTGAACATTAACTGAAGGATCGAAAATAGACTCCAATATAGTTACAGGTAGTTCAAACTATGCACTATTTAATAGTGTTTAAGTATTTGTGCATTTTGTTTTGACGAAATACTCTAAGATGACAATTGAAAATAGGACACTAGATTAATTCAATGCCCTCATACCGATGGCTAAAAACAAAATGTTCAATTTCCATTATTCATTTCTACTTAAAAGTCTATGATAGATTTCCACATTAATTATGAATGAATTATAGATGTTTACCTTAACCCATCATTAATCAAATAATCATCATTAATCATTCCACTATTTTGAAACCATTGCCATTCTTTTAAAGCCCAATCAAGATAATATGTTAATGGTTTACCGAGAAGTGTAGCATAAGGATGTAAACGCATACTACTTAATAAAAATAATTCATTAGTTATAGCATTTTTGTAATCTTTTGTTGGACACCATTGTATCCCCCCTTGACAACTTTTTGTGCTCCATGCTCTTTCGGAAATAATATCATAGATAAGTGCAGCACGGTGTAAATATTTTATATTCCCATCAACATTATATATTTGCATCCAAGCTAATAAAAACCATTGATGATCATCATAACAGTCACCACCGGCAAATATGCCAGTTCTGATATATGTATGATGAAAAACATATTTTAATGGAGAATCAATAAGATATAAAAAGTTAGCAAGTGATTCTAATGTATTTCCAGATTGCCATTCTAATTCATGTATCCATAATCCAATGAATTCATTATAATAGCAATGAACTAATCTTGTAGATGTTACTTCAGCCCAATTAAGAGCTTCATTTATTGAATCATTTTTATCAGTTCTCGTTATAATAGTAGACGAAAAAATAAATAAACTGAATATTATAGTGAAAGATAATATTCGTAACATTGAAAAATCCTAAAATGAAGATTATTTTTACAAACATAATACTCTAATAGGTCATCTCATTTAATAAAATACAGATTATTCTATGTTAATATAAAAAAAAACAGATTGCAATCGTGTAATGTTCATTTTTTTTCAAAATATTTATCTGTATGTACCTCGAACATGTTAGTCATTCGATGAACTCTATATAAATAATTTGTGTCTATCATTTTACTTGATCGTTGTCACATGAGTAGTGATGTCTTTCTCCTTTACAACGTATAATTCAGTAGTAGAAGGAGTCAAGGTCACGAGAGAGACGTGTCATTATAACAGAGGCAAGGTGAATGAACAACGTGAAGATAATGTTCTTCATTACCTATCTATGCTTTTGTTTCCGGTGGTTGATTGTGAAATATTAAATTTTTGCCAAGGTGTGAAAAATCAAAACAGGAAAAAAAATGTTAGAATTTTGTTGTTATATGATGATTACATACTTTGCAAGTAGAATAAAATGCAAGATTTTACCTCTTATCTACAATAAAATAAGAGATAAAAAAGAAGCACTAGATAAGTTGTTTTTTTTCTGTTGGCTTTTATCTTATGTTACGATATAGAACTTATCAAACAATAGAGTATAATAAATCTTAGTTCAATTTCGAAGACTTTCTGCTAAAAAGTCGAAAACTTGCGAAACATGAACTATGCTCAAGCAAACATCAAAAATTCTAAAATGGTTAATCGATGTGAAGCTAGCACGATGCCCAATCAAAATCCAAAATATAAGGAACCAATCATAAATCGAGCATGCTTTACCATTCATATTCCATGAAATACCAAACATATCTCCTTAGCAACCACATCATTTTAAACCATCTTAACGGTAAAAATCAGACCGAGATGAAAATTCAGGCTTCGCTCTCCCAGCACACGAAAAAAAAAGATTCCCGAACTAACGAAACGGAAAAAAGAATTCATAAATCACAATATCCACCACCTACATCACCATCAATGCTCCATCCGTAGCCCAACACTAACTCGTGGGGCATAAGATAGAGAATTCAATTCTCTATCAAAGGATATATAACAATGCCTAAGATTTCATTTTGAACTTCGTGAAATAACCTCCCCAAATTGTTAAGTCATGAGTAAGTAATGAATTTTTTTGAAAAAAGGCACCCACCCTGTTGATTCCATCCATTGCCCGGAACTAAGTTGTACAGCATCAGACAGAGAATTCAATTGTCTATCAAATAATGTATGACAATGCCCAAGAGTTAATTTTGAACCTCCTGAAATGACGTCCCCTGCATCATGAGTCATCACTCAAGAATGAATGTTTCTGAGAAAATTACCCGTTCCCGTTGACTCCATCCATTGTTCAGAACTAAGTTGTCCTCCATAAGACAGAGAATCCAATGCTCTATCCGATGATGTATAGCAATACCGCAAATTCGATTTTCAAGGTACTCAGATTTTCTCCATTATATGTTTACTCAAGGGAAAGATGTTTAGATGAAAAAAAAACTAAAAAAACACAGAGTTTTCGAGTGAAATTGTTGGTGTATTTTAATCATTCAAATAATTCGCGAATTTTAATCATTTCGGAAAGTGTTTTTTCGTTATTCGAAATAAATACTTTTATCTGTGTATGCATTCTTTTATATGTGTTGCTATCTGCCGCCATTAAGGTTGTTCGATCCATCAAAATGGTGCTTTTTCTTATTTTGATTTTTCGATTGGTTGACTCTTATATCCAATGTAATTTTTTTCCGGTCGTGCTAGCTTCTCATCGATGTAAAAGAAAAAAAATTAATAATAATACCTACATTTTATTTTATTGTTTTGTTTGGTATTGAGCTGTTTAATTTTGTACTGTCCAACTACTCTAAAATATAAAAAGAAACGATTATTATTTAATTCAATAAATTGAAAGATTTTACAGAGAAAATTATTCATGTTTGTATCCCAAAAAAATCGTTTCTTTTCTTGAGGGAAAACATTTATTTCATGTTGTCTCGTTGAAGAGTCATTAAAAGATGATATTAATTAAGCTATGATCAGGGCATAAGCATATATTTAGATAAATCCAATTATAATATCTCAATGTATGTGTATGGATATCGCTTAATTAATGATAACATACATGTTGAATTATGCACAAGACAAAACAATTTCCCCGTCCACATATCTTTTTTTCTTTTTCTTTCCCCTTTCACTTCCATATGAGAACCGGAAAAGAAAAACAAATGATGACCACATGTTCACATAATATCCACATTGTGACTATTGTCACAAAACGACATGAGTGCAAACAAACATATGTAAGACACAATCGAACATTCAACCAACAATGCGACATAGCATCTTACAGAGTGTGGGTGTGTGTTTGTGGGTGTGGGTTTGTGGATGTGGGTGTGGGTGTGGTTGATAAGAAATTGATCTCCACCCACTCACACCCACACCCACCCACACCCACACACCCACACCCCACACCCACCCACACCCACACCCAGGGCGCTGATTTGACCAATTGGTCCTATACACTGGTATCCTGTTGTTTGAAAATGACATATAGTGTGAAGCAAATATCATCTTACGATAAGGTACTTTTGATACCATCAAAAGATAGCCCATGGTCAATAGTATATACGGTAAAAAAATCTCGATTGTACCTCTTGTCGTTCTTTAGAAAATGAAAATTTACTGAAACATTTTGCGCTGAAAGGGACTTCAAAAATAGCCTACTCCCTCATACTTGCAACGTCTATGTCTCCAGCTTGGCTATTCCGCCGTTTGAGCTGAAATTTTCAGTTTCTTCCTAACTTTGTTAGACCTACTTACTATAAAAATACCAGTCAAATCGGTGACATCGATTGAGCAATGGTAGGCGTGGCTTACCTGCAATGCCTCCTACGTTGAACTTTGTTTTCATCATTTTTATAATCAAGTGGGGAATTTTGTTACAGTCTGCTAAGTCAACAACATCTAGAGGTCGACAAGTTCAGTTTCAGTTCCAAACTGATGAACTGTTCAAATCGTTCACTACCACGAACTGATCTGTTCGAACAGTTCTTTTGAACGAACTGAACTTTTTGAACAGTTCTTTTCAAAAGAACTGAACTGATCGAACAGTTCCTTTGAGCGAACTGAACTTTCTCAACAGTTCTTTTCAAAAGAACTGCACTGATCGGACCGCTCTTTTGAA